GACCAGCACATTCGGAGGGGTTCGTCCTTTAAGGCACTGTTTGAAGAAGGAAAGAAGGTCTCTCCAACACAAGCCACCCCTGCCGAACCACTGGACCTGGGAATGAAGACCAAGATTGGTCCCCATGGTCGCTGTTGGCCCCGTCGCACGTAGCTATCACCGATAATCCAGACACTGTGCACAGCTGAAAGAAAAGCGCACAAATTAACCAGCATAATAAACTTTTATACAGTGCAATGCCTTGCTTTAACATGGACAGCCAAAACTAACAATCTTAAAGTCTAGGTAGGGCTGGCCCTTGATTTAAACAGCAAATTTCCAAACAACAACTATTAAACACTTTTATTTTGAAATGAGATTGCTAAAACATACATTATTTGGCTAGTAAATATAATTGTTCAGATACAAAACATAAATAGCAAAATAGGTTGAGCAGAAACATACCTTCCCTTTGAGAAGTTGATTCTCTGCTCGACGGAAAACGAACAGTTGACTTGACTTTGCTAACAAACAAAAGAATGTTTAACAGTTTACAAAAGCTGTAGAATAACTGGTTAAACATGTTCTTTACACATCTACAAGTCTGCACTCATCTGTCTCAGCATTGAAGATATTTTAAACTATCAGTTAAACGGTGTAATCAAATAAAAATATAAATTTAAGAAACTTACTTTATAAAAGAAAAAACACATTGAAATTCTGACTTGTGATGGAGTAGTTAAAATGCTTTATGATTAGACTAATCAAAATGCTTCACTTACCTCATTGTAAATGCAAAGGAGATCAGGGACATCCAAGTAATCCAATCCAAGTCACAGGCAAAAGTCAAACACAGTAAGGCAGTCCAAATTATCAGGCAAACAAAACAGGCAAGGGTCAGATGAGAGGGTAATCCAGTGAACAAAGCATACAATCCAAAAAACCAAAAGACAAGAAAAAAAAAAACGCTCAGAAATGCAGTAAAACTTTATTTTGGGAACACGAAAGAACTATATACAAACATGAAAGCACCATTTTAAAACACTAAAAACCCAGAGAGTTATATAAAAAGACAATCAATATATTTAAAAACACTAAAGCACCATTTAAAACACTAGGAAACCACCTGAGGTTTAAATAAAAACACAAAAGCACTTTAAATAGTGCTTTCGTGTTTAAATAAACACGAAAGTGCCATTTAAAAAAATAAATAAATTACATAACACAATCAATATTTAAAAACACGAAAACAGCATTTGCATTTGGAGCATGAGAATCAGCCATCACGGTAATGACGAAAAACACAGGTCTCTTTCGAGGCCCACCCAGTTCTGGGAGCACCAAAGGATCACAGACATGTAGGCAGCAGCGATCCCCTTGGCAGGAGGGACGAAGTCTCTACAATCATCAAATCCTATATCTCTGCTGTTGATTATTGAGCTTAAATGCTACTACCATTTTCTCAGGCACCCTTTCAATGATTGCTTTTTCTAAGAGGCTGCTTGCATGTTGGAATTTGGCCCCTGGATAGCTCTCAATCTGCAATTCTAGAGAGTTGGAGGGTGGAAACCTGGAGAGATTCGAATCCCCAATAATCACGAATTTTTTGTTCAATGTGAGGTTCCAATCATTGGTTTTCTTGTTTGTACAAATGTGCCTGCGTGTGCGACCCACGAAGATGCGTGTTCGTGATGGGGTAATAGTATGTATGGGTGGCAGGGCCGGTGAATTTGTGTTCACCGATGGAGTCGTAAGTCTGGGCACGACTGGAGAGGAATGATCTGGGATGACGGTCTCATGCTCCTCAGGAATGTGCTCTATGATTTCATCTACTCTAACCCGTTCTGATTTCTGGCTAAGTGGGTCCAACTCGTGGAGAAAATGAGACAACGGGGAGGACACAGCCATGTGTGGCTCTGAGCTATCTGAAAAAAGTGGCTCACTACCATAAGGAGAGACTGCTGCTTGATAGGGACATGGACCAGAGTCAGCTTCACTCACCGGACCCAGAGGGACCAAAAGGGGAGGCTCAGTCTGGCCTGTGTGACCCGAGTTATTCTCGGGCCCCGCGGCAACAGGAGTTAGAGTCTCCGTGGGTTCCTCTGGGCGGTTCGTGCTGCGTTGCTCTTTGTGTGTCCTTTTCTGGGGACGTTGCTCTAAGGGACTGCGCTCAACGGCCTGTATGGGCTGGAGCATGATATGGGGACCAACAGGAGGAGGCTGCTCCTCCTCAAAAGACCAATCCCCCCTGTGTGGAGGAGACGTGGCCGTGGTCTCGAGTCCCTGGAGTAAGCTCGGCGAGGTCTGAATTTCAATAGTTTTATGAGATGCATCCACCGGCGTGATACTCAGTGACCCTAGAGGACGTGGTGTGTGCCACTAATAGAGGGGTGGTGGCAGTGGAAACACTGGTGGTGGTTCGGGATGATGGTTCTCCCTGTGTCACCACCTCTGCATATGTGGGTGCACGTGAGGTCTCTGTAGCTTTACAACCAGAGGAGCCTGGCATTTCAGATTGAATGATCTTTTCTGCTTGCTCAAATGTCTCCTGGCTAATGCATGTTTGATAGTTCTTATGCGCCCAATTAGTAGCAACCTCAAAAGCTTTAGGCCAATCCTGGTGATTTTCAAGAGCACGGATTTTACGAGAGAGCTCCTCGATACGTGATTCATAGTGTTCCTCGAGGATGTTCTGTGTGTTGCAGGCCCAACTCCTAGCAAACAAGGGGTATGTTTCTGAGGGACAATGTGGGACACTGCTTGGCCCGGCGGTGCCCCCACCCCACGGGCAGACTCTGATAGTGGTTTACCCATATCTAGAATTGTTACTATTGCCTTACTGTTTGTACATGAATAATTGTTCAAAAAAAAAAAAATCACATACCTTAGCACAGTGTTTCCCAAACTTTTTTTCTGGGGACCCACATTTTAAAGTCGATAAATCCTTGTGACCCAATAAACATTAGGCCCATTTAGTTCATATACCACGGAGAGAATTTATGCATTAACAAATTATGTATGACCATTTTTAAGGTCAGTTAAGCTTCTAGTTAACTATTTAAAAGAGATACAGATATTTGACAAAGGACAATTTTTTTTATTAACCTGTTGTTGACAATAAGCGAAATGCAGAGGTGAAATGAGAAAGGAAGAGTTGACAGGGCATCTCATTGTTTTCATATTCTCAGCATTACAGTGTACACAATTTACTATAATAATTATTATAGGCTTAAATTAAAATATCCTGACAGTGAGACTTTGTAACCATGCATGACTGTATATACCACTGTATAAAAAATGCCTAAACAGGCAAAAACCAAAACAAAAAAAAACTATACACACAATTAATTATATAGGCCTATTTCTCTACCCCCTTAATAAATCTATGCAATCCACAAGTTTCCGAGGGGCGCTCCTGTAAAAAATAAAGTGGGTGAAACTTCCGGTGACGCGGCGGAAGTAGCATTCCAATGGTATTTTGTGTGTTAGTTAGTGAAGAGGCTAGCTGTTTTTCGGAGAATTATTTTACTATTTGAAGACGCAAATCTTTATGAGAGATGTCGTTACGGAGCTCAGGGACAACATGTGCTGTTCGAGGTTGTATGTATAACCGGATTAAACTAGTTCAGTGGCTTAAACGTGATTGTTTTGAACATAAGCTGAAAACGAAATCACAGTGATCCTGCCAGAGCCCGTCTCTGATCCTGCCAACGACTGTAGTTTCCATCACCTCCCAAAAGACGACGAATCTTTCTGTGTACATTAGTTTAAATTCTTAATATTCTATAAACTCTATCAGCATGTGATTGGCTGTTCGCTACTGATTTTACACCTAAACTCAGGATCAAAGCCTGTGTTGACAGAATACCAAATGTGCCTGTTAATGTATTCAAGTAGCACATTCATTATAATTTTGAATAAACTCCAAAGCACAATGACTAAGTGTGTATTTTTTATTTTAATTGTTTGTCAGCTCACACAACTGTCTGTCACCATGCCTTGATGAGTATTGATTATTAATAATGTTATTATAATACTCCCAATCAACTACTGCGGAGGGTAAAGGTACTGTTATTTCACCTTTTTTAATTTCGTTGAGGTTGTGTTCCCACATCGTTAGCTAGTTTGGATCGCTATAACTTGAATGACTGTCAACTGTTGAATGAACGAGTATCAAGCATGTCAAGTCGCGCTTTGTTTACTTCCAACCGGAAGTCGCGCCCACTTTTGACGCAAGGCCTCATGGGGCGTAGGAAACTTGTGGACATAAATGACTATAACATAGTAGGCTATTCAAATATTCCACATTTATGCCCAAACCATGGTAAATTATTACATTAATAGGCTATTACATGGTACATGTTTGTAATGGTGGTGGTTAGGGCATTTAGTCTTCTAATTTTGTTCATGTTTCTGCTATTTACCTCATCAGTAGTGTTGGGAATGTTAAGGCTGTTTCATCCGATTTAAAACTAGTTAAAATCATTGAGTGATTTGTAGTTTGTAAGAGAGAGGAGTGTCCGATTGAAACGCTTCATACTGGATGTCGCAACGCTGTTTAATATTAGTGTCCGGGACCGGGAGTAAACACAACTCCTTTAAGCTTTGCGTTACGTTATCCACTGGACCGTGCTGCCTAGTTCAAAGTAAACTAGTGAAACGACTGAAACCAGCGCTATTTTGTTCTCTATTTGTTGTTACTGACCGAGAAACCGCTTCAGGTGGACAAATCCGAATCGTTTCAGACCGTTATGCACGCGCGTTTGGCCAATTCATGGAAAGGAAATAACCAAACCAATGAATGATTAATATCGCTGGTTCAGTCGACAGAAATACGGGACACACATAAGAACTGCTGAAATATTCGGACTGTAAACTTTTCTCTCAGGTCAGTCGGAGCGCTCATGGTACACACACAGTGCGGATAGTCGCCCAGCTGCACGCGCCACTGCGGCCACGCGCGTATCTAACCAAATTAAAAAGCCGCACCACCAGAACGCTTTTCCTTGGTGCCGCTGCCTTGTGGTGGCGACATACAGCAGTAGCCGTGTGCGTCTGTATCTGTCGTGTGTCTATCACAGCTGTGGAATATAAGATTATCCCAATATTAATATGGATTTGTTCAACACGTTGCTTATGAGCATGCTTACTTTTGGGACTGTTGTGAACCATCGTCAAACCAATGTGTCTCAGAGACTGCAGTATAGCCGGGATTTCCTAATTCAATGCAATGGTTCAGCCCCGCAGACTTTTTGCAATGAAATTCCACCAGAGATTCGCAGATGCGGGCCTTTTAGCCTCAATCGACAGACGGAGATGGAGGTGAGGATCCGCGAACGAGGCAGTGAAGTATACGGGGGACGGCGTGGGCCTGTCGCCGAATTGCGGATGTCATCAGCGGGTCGAGTGAGAAAGCGTGGCCGGAGGGGAGGAGTGCGACGGAGGTTACGCAGAACGGGATTGCGCCGCCTGCCACTTCCCTCGATTATCCTTGGAAACGTGCAATCATTAAGGAACAAAGTGGACGAACTGCAGGCAAATGTTAAATTCATACCGGAGTTTAAAAATGCTTGCATCATAGCCCTGACTGAGACTTGGTTAAAAGAACATGATCCGAGCCAGGATTTTGAAATCGATGGCTTTGACCAGCCTATCAGGTTAGACAGAGACGCACAGCTGACTGGTAAAACACAAGGAGGGGGTGTGTGTTTATACGTCAACTCCCGCTGGTGTAAAACCATAATAGTAAGGGAATCTATATGTAGCCCACATATTGAACTTTTATCTATCTCACTCCGTCCCTTTTATTTACCACGAGAAATTCCTCAAATTTTTATTACACTGGTCTATATCCACCCAAGAGCCAATCTGACAGATGCGGTAACTGAAATCACCAAACTTGTTCACCGTTTACAAAATATTTCTCCGGATGCTCCGCACTTTATACTTGGTGATTTTAATATGTGTAGTCTTAAGAAAGATCTTGGGCACTTTTATCAATATGTAAGCTGTCCTACTAGACATGGCAAAATTCTAGATATCAAGTCAAGTCACATTTATTTATATAGCGCTTTTCACAATACAGATTGTATCAAAGCAGCTTCACAGTGATAAAGTGTAAGTAGATATGTGCTATGGTACCGTTAAAGATGCCTATAAATCTTACGTAATGCCACCCCTGGGGTCTTCTGACCATAGCTGTGTCTTTCTGGCTCCGATCTATCAATCAGCCCTGAGGAGAGGCAAAGTTGAGCGTAAAGAGGTCTCTGTGTGGACAGACGATGCTATTAAAGAACTGAATGGATGCTTTTACAGTACCGATTGGGATGTTTTTAAGGACTCATGCACTGATCTAGATGAATTGACTTTCACTGTGACAAGTTACATTAAATTCTGTGAGCAAATGATTATTCCCACAAAGACGATTACATTATACCCCAATAATAAGCAATGGGTGAGTAGATCACTTAAGCACGCTCTTAATAAGAAAAAGATAGCTTTTCAACAGAATGATATATACAAAAAAAGAGAGACTCAAAGGCTGGTGAAGAACGAAATAAAGTTGGCCAAAAGCCAGTTTAAGGACAAGGTGGAAGATCAGCTAAAGAACGGCAATGCTTACTGTGCTTGGAGAGGGATTAAGGCTATGGTGGGAATGAGCGATAAGAAAAAATCAGTAGCTGCATATGACAAATCTGACTCTGATGTGGCGGAGGAGCTTAATCAGTTTTATTCAAGATTTGACTCCCATGAATTTAATGATGATCTGGCTGAATTTAGAATTGAGTCTGAGGGAAGTCAGATTCTGATTGATGAGATAGATGTCTGGAAGACTCTTGAGCAGATGAGCATAAGGAAGAGCCAGGGGCCTGACTGTATAAGCGGCCGATTGCTTAAAAATTGTGCTTTGTTTTTAACTACTATTTTTACATTTATTTTCCAACGCTCACTATCAGAAAGGAAAGTACCAGGGATATGGAAAGAATCAGTAGTGGTCCCAGACCAGTTGCAAAAGTCCCCTCTCCAAAGGGGCTGAATGACTATCGTCCTGTGGCTCTGACTTCTTTGGTGATGAAGGGCTTTGAGCGTATTGTAAGGAGGAGTTTGCTTTGTATGACTCAGAGCATGATTGATCCTTTGCAGTTCGCATATCTACCAAATAAGGGGGTTGAGGATGCCACAGCAACACTGCTGGACTTTGTTACTGGACATTTAGAGGGCAAGAAGACGCATGCTCATCTGTGTTTTGTTGATTTTTCTTCTGCGTTCAACTGTATGCAGCCCCATATTCTTGCTCAGAGACTACTGCAATTCCCTAATATTGATCTTGGTACGATATGCTGGCTGGTTGATTTCTTAACTATGAGGTCACAGAGGACAAGGGTAAATAACATTTTATCTAAGGCCCTCATATGTTCAACAGGGTCACCTCAAGGGTGTGTTCTGTCACCACTTTTATTTGTGCTCTACACCAATGACTGTCGGAGTACGTTGGAATCGAGGCATATTATTAAGTATGCTGATGATTCTGTGATAATTAGCCTTTTGCAGGATCATGAGGAGGGCCATGGACCAGTTTTGGACAATTTTGTTTCATGGTGCAAGGACTCATATCTCCAAGTCAATGTCTCTAAAACCAAAGATATGTGTATTGACTTTCGCCGTAACCCCCCAACCACAGTTCCAACTTTGATTAATGGAATGACGTTAGATGTGGTAAGAGAATACAAGTATCTGGGTACCATTTTAGATGATAAACTGAACTTTGACACCAATACAGACTACATATGCAAAAAAGCTAATCAGAGACTTTTCTTTTTAAGAAAGTTGAAAGGATTTAACGTTGATAGATCCCTTCTGAAAGCTTTTTATTCATCTTTTGTTGAGTCAATTTTAACCTTTGCTATGATCTGCTGGTTTGGCAATTTGAGTGTAATCAACAAAAACAGATTGGGAAAAACTGTAAGCATATGTCGGAAAATAATTGGTATTGATCTGAATAGCATTGAGCATACGCATAAGGGCAGAGCTACACAGAGGGCAATGGCCATTCTGGCTAACACCACTCACCCACTACACTCAGAGTTCTGCCTCCTACCATCAGGAAGGAGGTATACCTACCGAAAATGTGCCAGATCCAATAGATATTTGAAATCATTTGTTCCATTAGCTGTTGGGTTTCTCAACAAACTATAGGACATGTTATTTATTTATGTTTTATTTTTTCATTTGTTTTTATCTATTTATTATCTCATGTTTTTATCTGTTTTTGGGTAAATGTGTATGTGTTGGCTACCTGTTGTGAACTAAATTGCCCCTTGGGGACATTAAAGATATTTCAACTCAACTTCAACCCCGCCTTTGGGAATGACTGCCTTAGCACATACATTAATAATGCCCTATTCCCCTAAACATGTGTAATTGCTGATATATACTCATGAATAGGCCAACCAATGTGTATTTTTTCGGTAACACTTTACAAATATAGCTGCAAGCAGCAACACGGGGCCAAGCCCAGCAAGGCGCAGCAAGCAGACCAAGCGCGGCACAGAGCCAGCACATCAAGCACAGCAGCGCAGCAAGCATTTAAGCACCAAGAGCAGTGCAGCGTCGCAAGAACAAAAACAGCACAAATTGAATACACATGTAAATTAAGCACAGTGAGCATTTAAGCACAAACAGTAGTGCAGAGCAGGAAGGAATTGAAATGAAAACTTATTACACAATTTTAAAGTCGCCCCACGTGGGACTCGAACCCACAACCTGAGTGGTTCAGTATTTGAGATACATGGTTTAGCATATTGCGCCACTCAGAGGTTGTGATTTTCAAAGCAGTAAGGGAGAGGGTTCAGTATGAGAATGATTCACAAAAAAGTTCCATGACATGTTATCTATATTAGCTAAGCTAGCTCAATGCTAATGTATCTTATGATTTGGTACACCCAATCCTGGCAACATGCATATCCTCGGATTCGACAGGACGCAGGGAATCGATAGATACCAATTTTATGATTTTGTGACAAACTGTTCACAATTTACAGCTTCTGATCCAAGTCTGGGTCAACCTTGTTCATTTTGTGACACCATAACTTTTGAAGAAAAATTCATAAAAAAAATCGGGAACAGTACTTTTATGCGGCTCAGTCCGAAGATCATTTGAGTGCATATTTGGAGAAAATTGGACAAAATTTGAAGGAGGAGTAGCGAAAAAAACTGAGAACTGTACATTTCAAAATGGCAACTACTGTAATGGGTGGGGACTTAATGTAAGGTATTGGTTGTGATTAGCATGATGAGTGGAATAAGGTGTATTGAGTGAGTGTGTGAGTGTGAGCCATTGAGTGTGTCCAACATGTTGTGTGTCCATATTATGAATATGTCTTAGTGAGTTAGGAATCCTCTTGACTTTTAAGGTGTCTCAGACTTAGGTGCTACTTTTAGGGCTAAAATGCTTCTAGAATTACTCTTTTATATATATATATACAGTATATATATATATATATATATATATATATATATATATATAGTCTAAAGTTATGAGTGACACATTATTTTAAGGAGTTGCTCCTAAATTCACCAGTTAGGAGGTAGTTTTAGCCTTAAAATTATTTATGAATACAGCCACAGATGCTACTTTTTTGGAAAAACAAAAACAAACAAACAAACAAAAAAAGTCTACTGCATTTAAAATGTATGGTAGTCTATGGCAATTTTATTTTTTATTGCACTGTTCTATAATGCATCACATTTGCTCAAGTGTGTTATGTCCATATCAAATAATTAAATAAATAAAAAGTAGGGATCCAATTGGCACTATTGCATATATGATGTTTCTTAGCAAACATAACTATTTTGAACAGGTTTAAAATGTTTTGTATTTCAGTTTTCAAAGTACAATAAGCAAAACTGTTTGCTTTAGTAAAAATAAAATGAGCAGCAAATCAGCATATTGAAATGAATTAAAAAACCATATGACATGAAAGACTCAAGTAATGATGTTGAAAATTCAATTTTACATTACAAGAATGAACAAAATATTGTAGTATAAATAAGGGACAGTTTTGCACTTACTTTAAATCAATTTAATGTCAAGTTTATTTGTAAAAAGCAAATAATTTTCTTCCATGAAATCATTTTAATTTTGAATATTTACAAATGTGTAAAAAAAAAAAAAAAAAAAAAGTAGATACATAAATAATTATACCAACAATGGTAATCCCACATACCTGCAAAGGTAAATACAAAGGGAAAAAAATACCAACAATGGTAAATCAGAAATACCAGCAAAGGTAATGAAAGTAGAACATCAAAATACCAACAATGGTAAATCACAAATTCTGGCAAAGGTAATGAAAGTGTAAGAAAAATATATAACAACAGTACATAAATACTTGACAAAATTATTAAGTCCAAAAAAAAAAAAAAAAACATTTTCATGCAGTGGAAAAAAAAAATCATTTCTTTTTGTTCAATTGTGTGCCTACACATCTAATTTTTTTTTGTTGGCACGTTTTGAGTCTTGTACATGTGGTGTGTGGGATGGTGGCTCTGTGTTGGATGGTGGCTCTGTGTCAATTTGTGTGTCTTCAATAGCATAAGGAGATGTATCAGTTGGTGTAGGATGTGTAGTGTGTGGTGGTGTATAAATTTGAAGTAAGTTTTGATCAAAGTCTTTATCTTCAAAGGATGGTGTTGATGGTCCAGCTCTTTCGTCATCAGTCATTGTAGTGGTCTTGGTGTCTTGTGTTTCAATTTTCATGATAAACTCATTGTGTGTTGTGACTTATTTCTGGTAGGTTAAGTAGAGAATCAACAATATCATCATCAGATCTGCTGCGTTTCAAATCAATAAGCGTGCTAATAATGTTATTTCCAATTTTTGCCGTGAAAATTTTGCCAGATGTAGATTTCATGGTAAGTTTTCCATATGTTTTCATTTGGATTGCAGTTGATTTGAATTGAGTTTGACATTTTTCACACAGTATTTTTGAGCTGGATAGTGACATAGTAACAAGATGTTTTAATGGACAGATATACAGTAGGTAGACAACCAGAATGTGGTTTTTACCGCCGCCGGTTTGCCGCGGCGGTAAAAGGTGAGGTATAGTTGCTGCCTTTGTCCGCTAAACCGTGCCCTCAGTTTTAGAAATATGTACCCACAAATTCATAAACTGTGTCCACGCTTTCGCAATCCGTAGGCTACTCACGGGTGTGTAATCCGGACTCGCGGATTTGTGGCTCGTCCCCGAGAATGTGACGCATGATTCAACCAGGCCTCCTGTTTAGATGCGGGATGCATTGTTTTTAAAAGGACTTCACTTACAAAAAACACAGCCTTAGCCTAAGACAAACACAAAGTTATAGGTCTATAAAAATAAAATTGTTTTACATATTCCTGTCTTAAGTGAACTCATTTAAAGTTATAAACGCAAATAATAGGCCTAATAATAATATGCTATTATTATTACATTTAGGCTACATATTTAGATATAAGACGCTTTTATATAAAAAAAAAGAAACAAAGCAATTCGTCAAATCATAATAGGCCTACTGGTTAGACAATAATAAAACAGGGCTGAGATTATCACAAATAGGCCTAAACACAAGATTTTGACGCATAGGCTGACTTTTTGCCTTTATTAAACATTTAAAATATTCGCAAATTAATATGAAAAAAAAAATAGATTTTGCTTTCTAAAAACTATATTTTGCCCGCAGTGCTAAATGAGAAGAGCATGTGAGAGATGATTTATAGGTGATTTATAGGCTTGTGTCTGAAAAATAACGATCGACGTTTTCTTGTTATTGTGAGTTTACACAAATAAAAGTAGTTGCAAATAATGTATGTATTTTGTTTTTTTTTTCCGTATGACCAGAAATGCTAGATTATTTTAAATTGTTCCCCTGTTGATAGGAACATGCAAGTGTTTGCGGCCGCGGCAGTGACATGCACACAAACAGTTGGATATACGTTAAAACCTGTGTTTGTTTGTTAGAATCATAGCCTATTATTATTGTCTAAGACTGACATTTGAC